GGCGCCGCCGCCGGTGTCGCCGCCGCCCCGGGCGGCCGTCGACGTCGCGCCCGCGGGCGAATCCGCGTTCCTCGCGGCCGCGCCGCCCGTGCTCGTCGTCTACGCGTCCGTGACGGGCACGTCGCGGGGCTACGCGCTCCGGCTCCGCGACGCCCTGGCGCGGGCGGGCCGGCGGTCGACGCTCGTCGACGCGTGCGACGAGGCGTTCCCCCTCGACCCGTGGGACGAACTGCTCAACGGCGCGTCGCGCGACTGCGCCGTGCTCGTGTCGACGCAGGGCGGCGGCGCGTGCCCGCCCAGGGCGGCCCACATCTTCGAGGCCGCGCTCGACGACCTCGCGCACGACCACCGCGTGGGCACGGCCGCGCTCCGGGGCCGGCGCTTCGGCGTCCTCGGCTGCGGGTCGACGGCCTACGAGCCCGCGGTCTTCTGCGCGGCGGCGAAGAAATGCGAGCGCGCGCTCCGGAAGCTCGGCGCGAGCCGCGTCGCGTCGGCGGCCCTCGACGACTGCGACGGCGCGCGCGACGCGGCCTACGGCGCCTGGGAGGCGCGCGTCGCGGCGACGTTCGCGAAGCCGTCGCCGCTGCTCGCCAGGGCCGGCGGCCTCACGCGGCAGCAGCGCAAGAAGGTCGCGGCGCCGCGGGCTTTGGAGCCCGTCGCGCCCGGCTCCGACGACGGCGGCTCCGAGAGCGACGAGGAAGCACCGGCGCCGTCCGGCGTCGCGGACCTCGAGGAGCTCGGGCCGGGCCTCGAGTCGCGCGCGGACGAGGAGGCCGCGGCCCTCGGGCTCCGGCCGCCCAAGGACATGGTCACGCCGGCCCAGGCCAAGGCCCTCAAGAAGGAGGGCTACAAGCTCATCGGGTCCCACAGCGCCGTCAAGCTCAGGGCGGGAAAAGAGAGCGAAATTCCCAACTTCAAAGGCTCCGATCTCGGCCGTTTTCCACTCGTTTCGGCTGATCTTTGGACGAGCGATCATCTCTCGGAACGGCCTCGAAGCGTGGATGCTTTTTCCGGAACGCGCGCGCGCGGAACACTCAAATTGAAGCGACGTTGAATCTCTCTTGTCCCGCCCAGGTCAAGCTCTGCCGCTGGACGAAGCACCAGCTCCGGGGCCGCGGCGGCTGCTACAAGCACACGTTCTACGGCATCACGTCCTACCAGTGCATGGAGGCGACGCCGTCCCTCGCCTGCGCGAACAAGTGCGTCTTCTGCTGGCGCCACCACAAGAACCCCGTGGGCACGAGCTGGAAGTGGAAGGCCGACGACCCCGAGGCCATCGTCGCCGAGGCCGTCGACCTCCACGTGGCCATGATCAAGGAGTGCCGGGGCGTGCCGGGCGTCGTCGACTGGCGCTGGCGCGACGCGCACACGGTCCGCCACTGCGCGCTCTCGCTGGTCGGCGAGCCCATCATGTACCCGCGCATCAACGAGCTCCTCGGCGAGCTCCACGGCCGGCGGATCTCCACGTTCCTCGTGACGAACGCGCAGTTCCCCGAGGCCATCCGCACGCTGCGGCCCGTGACGCAGCTCTACGTCTCCGTCGACGCGCCCAACGAGGCCGACCTCGTCGAGGTCGACCGGCCGCTCTTCGGCGACGCGTGGGACCGGCTCCGCGCGTCGCTCGTGCTGCTCCGCGAGAAGCGGCAGCGCACGGTCGCGCGGCTCACGCTCGTCAAGGGCCACAACGAGCGCGACGTCGCGGGCTACGCGGGCCTCGTCGCCCTCGGGGAGCCGACGCTCGTCGAGGTCAAGGGCGTGACGTTCTGCGGCAAGTCGGACGCGTCGGACCTCACGATGGAGAACTGCCCCTGGCACCACGAGGTCGTCGCCTTCTGCGAGGCCCTCGCGGCGGCCCTCGCGGCGAACCACCCGGGCGCGCCGGAGTACCGCATCGCCTGCAGCCACAAGCACTCCGTGTCCGTGCTCCTCGCGCGCGTCGACCAGCTGGCGACGCTCGACGACTCCGGCGCCGTCGTCTCGTGGAACACGTGGATCGACTACGACAAGTTCCACGACCTCGAGCGCGCGCACGCGGCGACGGGCGCACCCTTCGGCGTCGAGGACTACGCGGTCCCCGCGCCGCCCTGGGCCCTCTTCGGCGCGGCGGAGGACGGCTTCGACCCCGTCGACACGCGCGTCTACAAGAAGAAGGCCAACGGCAAGTCGCGCTGAGCCGCTCGGAACTCCCCCGGCAAGTCGCGCTGAGCCGCTCGTAACTCCCCCGGGTCGCGGGCTTCCGAGCGCGGGCCCTCGCGCGCGCGCGCGTCGACCCGCTCCCTCGGGGGGGTGCGAGCGTATGGCGGCGTTAACTCGCGCGGCGCCGGGGGGCGGCGCGCGGGCGGCGGCGGCGGGGGGGCGGGGGGGGGGGCGCGGAGGTCCGCGAGGCCGGGCCGGCCGACGACGAGGCGCCGCGGCCGACGACGGCGCGCGCGGCGCCTCGTCGGCGCCGCGGCCGACGACGGCGCGCGCGGCGCCTCGTCGTCGGGGGCGGGCGCGGCCGGCGTCGTGCTTGTCGCGCTTGTCGCGACTACTCCTTGAGCGTGCGGCACTTGATGACGCGGTTGCCCTTGGCGTCGTATTTCGGGTCGTTGCGCTTCTTGACGCCGCAGGTCTCGTCCGCGCGGCAGTGCGCCTTCTTCGTTTTGTACTTGCACACGTGCTTCTTGTTTTTGCACTTTTTCGTGATCTTGTTGTACTTGCAGTGCTTCTTGTTGTTGCACTTGGACTTCTTCTTGTTCGCGAGCGCGCAGTCGGACATGCACGCGTGCGACCCGAAGACCCACTTGCACCGCTTGTTCTTGTTGCACTTCGCCTCCGACGCGAGCGCGGCCCGGCCGCAGCCCCGGACCTTGGGGGTAAGGGCCGTGGCCGTGGGCGCGAGCGTGGAGTTGGTGGGCGACGCCGTGGGCGCGAGCGTGGAGTTGGTGGGCGCGCTCGTGGGCGCGGGCGTGGGCTTCTCGGTGGGCTGGGCGTAGGGCGACCATTCCATCGGCGAGTCGACGGGGTACTCGTACTTGGCCTCGCCGGTGACCTCCACGGCCGAGTTCGACCAGTCGCAGAGGCCCTCGGTGTGCTTCGCGCAGATGTCCGTCTCGTCCTGGATGGGGTTGTGGATGAAGCTGAGCGGGTCGAGGATCATGAAGTCCGAGAGCTCGCCGTTGCCGTAGAAATCCTGCGGCGCCGCGCCGATCGTGCAGGGATACGGGTGCGTCGGGTCGTCCTGCGGGAGGCAGAGGTGGAAGCCCCACGTGCGGCCGTGGGCGAGGGCCAGGCCGCCGGCCGCGGCCGAGGCCTCTCCGAACGCGTCCGCGTTCTCGGGGCTGTAGGTATGGGCGAGGAGCGCGTTCGACTGGGGCTCGTACTTGTCGATCGGGCAGACGCCGAAGAAGTCGATCGTGCCGTCCTTGAGGGGCTTGTAGAAGGGCCACATCTGGCCGTTCTCCATGTGGGGGCCACCCTGGTGGACGTGGAAGCAGGCCTTCGGGAGGCCCATGAACTTGGGGTTGCCGTCCATGTCGCAGGGGTCGTACTCGATGGCGATGGCCGAGATGTACGTGGCCTTGAGGCGGATCTCCGAAGCGTTGTAGTAGGAGGGCTTGTAGATCGCCGCGCCGCCGACGGCCTCGTAGTCGGTGTCGTTGAGGGCGTGGATGAACTGCTTGGACTTCCAGTGGTCGGCGAAGAAGACCGCGCCGTCCGCGGTCGAGCCGAGCGGGTCCTCGACGAATTGGTAGTTCGGGGTGTCCGTCGTGTAGGTGGCGAGGTTCATGCTCATGTAGGAGAAGTTCCCGACGCCGGCCGTCGCCATGGCCACGTTGACGCCGAGGCCCATGTTGATGAGGTTCCCGTAGTTGTGCGGGAAGAAGGGCAGGCGCATCGCGCCGTAGGCGTCAAAGCCCGACGTGAAGAGGCTCCCGAGGCCCTCGTCCGTGTTCCAGACCGTGAGGGTCTCGGCCCAGATCTGCTTGAGGGACTTGCCGAGGTTGTACTCGTCCTCGTCCGTGTCGAAGTCGAGCTGGCAGCCCACGTTCATCTTCGTCTCGTTGTACGGCTTGCAGATCGTGTTGATGTCGAGGCCCGGGCAGTAGGTCAAGAAGTCGAGGCCCGTGTCCGTGCACTGCACGACGCAGCCCTTGTCGACCATGTAGTCCTTGGTCAGGCACAGCGGCGTGAACATGGTGCCGACCTCGACGGAGCTCGACGTGCCCGACGTGATCATCTGGCGCGGGTACGTCTTGGTCGTGTAGAGGCGCATGACGGGGCCGGTCTGGACCCAGTTGAAGCCGCCCGGCGCGTCGTCGATCGACGGGGCCGCGAGGTCGCAGCTCGTGACGGGCGCCGCCGCCGGGTAGGGCGACCATTCCATCGGCGAGTCGACGGGGTACTCGTACTTGGCCTCGCCGGTGACCTCCACGGCCGAGTTCGACCAGTCGCAGAGGCCCTCGGTGTGCTTCGCGCAGATGTCCGTCTCGTCCTGGATGGGGTTGTGGATGAAGCTGAGCGGGTCGAGGATCATGAAGTCCGAGAGCTCGCCGTTGCCGTAGAAATCCTGCGGCGCCGCGCCGATCGTGCAGGGATACGGGTGCGTCGGGTCGTCCTGCGGGAGGCAGAGGTGGAAGCCCCACGTGCGGCCGTGGGCGAGGGCCAGGCCGCCGGCCGCGGCCGAGGCCTCTCCGAACGCGTCCGCGTTCTCGGGGCTGTAGGTATGGGCGAGGAGCGCGTTCGACTGGGGCTCGTACTTGTCGATCGGGCAGACGCCGAAGAAGTCGATCGTGCCGTCCTTGAGGGGCTTGTAGAAGGGCCACATCTGGCCGTTCTCCATGTGGGGGCCACCCTGGTGGACGTGGAAGCAGGCCTTCGGGAGGCCCATGAACTTGGGGTTGCCGTCCATGTCGCAGGGGTCGTACTCGATGGCGATGGCCGAGATGTACGTGGCCTTGAGGCGGATCTCCGAAGCGTTGTAGTAGGAGGGCTTGTAGATCGCCGCGCCGCCGACGGCCTCGTAGTCGGTGTCGTTGAGGGCGTGGATGAACTGCTTGGACTTCCAGTGGTCGGCGAAGAAGACCGCGCCGTCCGCGGTCGAGCCGAGCGGGTCCTCGACGAATTGGTAGTTCGGGGTGTCCGTCGTGTAGGTGGCGAGGTTCATGCTCATGTAGGAGAAGTTCCCGACGCCGGCCGTCGCCATGGCCACGTTGACGCCGAGGCCCATGTTGATGAGGTTCCCGTAGTTGTGCGGGAAGAAGGGCAGGCGCATCGCGCCGTAGGCGTCAAAGCCCGACGTGAAGAGGCTCCCGAGGCCCTCGTCCGTGTTCCAGACCGTGAGGGTCTCGGCCCAGATCTGCTTGAGGGACTTGCCGAGGTTGTACTCGTCCTCGTCCGTGTCGAAGTCGAGCTGGCAGCCCACGTTCATCTTCGTCTCGTTGTACCGCTTGCAGATCGTGTTGATCTCGAGGCCCGAGCAGTAGGTCTCGTAGTCGAGGCCCGTGTCCGTGCACTGCACGACGCAGCCCTTGTCGACCATGTAGTCCTTGGTCAGGCACAGCGGCGTGAACATGGTGCCGCTCTCGACGGAGCTCGAATTGCCCGACGCGATCATCTGGCGCGTGTACGTCTTGGTCGTGTAGAGGCGCATGACGGGGCCGGTCTGCACCCAGTTGAAGCCGCCCGGCGCGTCGGCGATCGACGGGGCCGCGAGGTCGCACGCGGCCGACGCCGTGTGCAGGAGCGCGAGCGCCGCCACGATCCGGGCGCCCTTGGTCGTCATGATGATGGTGTACCTAGTCGGGAGTGAGTCGGTTTGGGTTTGGAGCGGTCCTCGGGGGCGGGTGTCGGGGCTTGGGGAATGACGGAGGGTCCCGGCCAGGGGCCCGGGTCCGGCGACCGATCCGATCGGCGGCGGTCGATCGGCGGCGGTCGCGCCGTTTTCGGGGGCCGGGGACGGTTGAGGGGGGGGTGTCCAAGTCACCACATCGTTCCTCGTCGGGCTGGGGTCTTGGGGGGGAACTTCTTCGGGGGGGGCGACGGCCCTTCGGTCGTCGAACCGCCGGAAAAAGAAGTTTCGCGCCAAAACTCTCTAAACTCGCGATGCGGGTCTCGAAAAGTCCGGGGTTTGGCCCTCGGGGCGGTCGAAAAGTCGCACGATACGCGGGGAAGACGTCGGACGCCGGGTCGCACTCGTCAGCGCGTGCGCGCAGGTCGATTGTCGACAAGATCGCCGCTTGCACGATCGCCGCTCGGACTAAATTTTTTGGAGAAATGTAGAGAAACGTGGTGGATCGGGGAGTTGCAGTACGCGAGCTGAAGTTGCCTTTTGCTAGCGTTAGGGCTGAAGGCCCGCCGGTCCTGAGCAAAGTCCTGAGAGGTTCCCGCGGGGATCCCGGGGGCGCCCCGGCGGGGCGCGGTCCGGCGCAGTCCTGGCGCGATCCCGGCGGTCCTGGCGGTCCTGGCAAGTCCCTTCCGGGTCCTGGCCGGGTCCTGATACACGTCCCGGCTCGCTCCCAGGCGTCCCGGGCGGCCCAGGAGTCCTGGGCGCCGTCCTGGGGCCGTCCCAAAGCCGTCCCGGGGCCGTCCTGGGAGGCCGTCCTGGGGCGTCCCGGCGGGCGGTCCCGCGCGGTCCCGGCGGGGTCCCGGCGACGTCCCTCCCGAGTCCTGCCAGTTAGCCCCGGCGCAGGGAGGAATCGAAGGGGGAGAGAACAGCGAGGGGAGGCGTACGTAGGGAGAGCCACGGGAGGACACGACTCGGGCGGAGGCGTACGCGAGCACGGCGACGGAAAGGGCACGGCGACGAAGAGAGCACGACGACGTAGGGCGGCTACTGCTCGTAGGCGACGCCGAAGGCCCGAGTCGTGCCAGGTCCCACGCGCGTCCCGGGCGGTCCCGCGCGGCAGTCCCGGCGGTCCCGGGCGTCCTCAGGTCGGCAACGCGCGGCTGGGCCCCTATTCCAGGAGGTCGATACATGTCATTTCAGGCGGCTGGGGGCCTCGGGGCCGCGGGCGACGCCGCGAGAGCCGCACGACGCCTCCCGCGCGCGCCCGCCGCCCGGACCCCGCGCTCCTTCGCGGACAGATCCTACGACGCGCGCTACGCGTCCCCTCCGCGCCGGAGCGCGGCCGCGAGCTTGCCGTGGACGGCGACGAGCTCCGGGCTGCGGAGCGCGGCGACGCCGCGCTCGT